TGCATGCTTCAATGATATTAATATTCAGCATTTTAACCAATTCTGTCACATTTTAAGTCCAGCATGTATATATTTTACTGTGGTTTTATATGTCTTTTATCTATTATAATTTCTTAGAATTTTTACAGCTAGGCAATACAGCATGTTAAAAACTGGAAAATAAAAGTAGGCTACTAAAAAATACTGAAAAGGCACTACCTTCACCTGTACCTAACCAGCAGTATTCTTAAATCCTGAATTAACTTAAATGATTGAGTAAGTAGTGTCCTTGCAACTGAAGATATACAGGGATGACATTTATTATTTGGACCCATTTAAATCAGGATTTTTCCATGATATGTTACTAAGCCTCTTTGACCACTGTAGTAGATGACTCAACACTGGAAATTAATGTAGTAGTTAGGTTTCTACAACATTTACCATGGCATTCATTGGGACTGTGTAGTAGAGTTGGGTCTAGGAGACACTGCTGACTTAGAGCTCCACTGCTCCTAATTCTAAGGAACCAAAAAACATTCTTGAACATTGTTTAATCTTGTTGATGGACTAAATTAGGAAGAACAAGCCAAAGATGGGAGTGCAGTTAGTAAAAGCCGGAGTCCATATCCTGCATGGGGTTGCATTCTTTCAGGAGATTTCTGAGTTCTCCGTGATTACCAGCTATCAGTGGATTTACAAGTGACAGTTGCAAGGAAGGCATTTGTACAATTACAATTCATTGGAACTCATCTTCAGCAACCAGATTTAACCCTTACAGATGTACTGGTTATAATTTACCTTTACAATTACAATGCATCATATATGATGCTATCCTTGAAAAGTGCCCAGTGGAGCGAAATACATTACTCAGCTATAGGTTTATTCAATATCTATACTATATTCTATATCTATATACTATAAAGACTGAGCCATCTGTTAAGAGCCTTATAGGCACAATTCAAAGTATTGGTATTGATAGATAAAGCTCTTCAAAATTTGGTATCCAACTATAGTATATGTAGAATTACTACTTGTATTAGTGGGAAAGGGTTTTTTGAAAATTCCCCACTGACAGCAGTCCTGACCATCTGTCTATGAAACATGGGACTATACGATGCTCTTTGTAGAAAGATGCATTTAACTCCTATTCCCCCTATGTTCAAGCATGGCTTCTGCTAAACACTTCATTAATAAGAACTTTTACTGTATGTATCCCTCTATTATATTTGTGTATCACACCCTCCCTTTGAAGCCAGTCTGTAATAGCTTAATTTTAACTGTGCTCTATGTGGCTTCATTTTAGACTTGCTACTATAAGCAACTATAGTTTTTGAAAAAACAAAAAAGCAAGGTAAAAATTTAATAAGGCAATTTAATATATTTAATTGTGAACTACAGCATATAATCATCTTTAAGCATGTATCATTAGCACAGCAAAAATTAATCAATTGTCATTTAACAATAGCCATTTGGATTTCTGCTTATTCAACACACATAATTTCCCCAACCCTCAAAGAGGCTAGCAGCCATCCTTCAAACTTGACATGAAGTGACAGGATTTGCAGCCAAAATCTCCTGGAAACAATCCAGGCATCCGTGCACAGGAAATTCTTCTGTTCTCAGCCTTATTACTCAATGTTGTGAGTCTGAATATTTTTATTTCATTTTCATTCTCATTTTATACAATCACTCATATACTGTGCATAAAAAGAAGAAAAAAGGAAAAAAAAAACCCCC